GGGGGGGGACGGGCAGAGAACGTTGTGACGCTGTAACGGACCTTTGGGGGCTCACAGCCTGTGTGCAGAGTAGGGATCCAGAGGAACTCATTTCTGTCTCTATCTCAGACACAAGGAGACTTGGTGGTGGATCAGTTCAGTACTTGGCTGCTTACCGAAACGTTGGTAGTTCTAACCCACCCAGTGGCTCATCGGAAGAAAGACCTAGTGATTTGCTTCCATAAACATTACAGCCTAGAAAACCCTATGGGGCAGTTCTACTCTGTCACACGGGATTGCTGTGAGTTGAAAATTAACCACATCTTAGACATACAGCACACTGGCTCTAAAAACCTCAACATGCAGAAACAGCAATCTTATTTTAAAAGAGGAACACTGCTGGTTCCTGGACACCCTGCTAACTCAGAACTGAAGCCACTCCGGAAGCCCACTTTTCAGCTAAAGATTAGAAGGCCTATAAAACAAACAATAATGCATGTGAGGAATGTGCTTCGTAGTTCAATCAAGTATACGAGACCAAATGGGCAACTTCTCCTCAAACGCAAGATGAAAAAGCAGGAAGAAATAGGAAAACTGGACAAGTGGACACAGGGAACCCGGACTGGAAAGGGGAAGAGCGCTGACACACTGCGGGTATTGCAACAAATGTCACAAAATAATTAGTGTATATATTTTTGAATGAGAAACTAATTTGCACTGTAAACTTTCACCTAAAGCACAATAAAACTTAAAAAGGGGAGGGAATAGAGGGACATTATGAATGTCACAATTTTAATTAATTAATGAACACTTACATTAGCAAAAAAAAAAAAAAAAAAAAAAAAAATCAGTTACGGGACCAGGTACAGAGCATTGATTGTAAAGCAAAAAAATGGATATACGTATCATTTCCAATGCTTCACAGAAGGAAAATTCAGGGGAACTGTTTTTTGATTACATAATTCTCATTCTGACTACTACCGTTATGTCTATTCATCCTCATTCGTCCAACACTTAAGTTACAAACATTTCCAACCATGCTTGTTTATGAGTACTCGGAGGGGAGAAATCTGCTTTGGCTGACCACAACTCTTACCAGAATCCAAAACCAGGTGATTTTCATTCCTGAAAGGACTTGGTTATGTTCTTAGAATAAATTCATTGTGGAATGTTGGGCTCTCTTTTAGCCTCTGGAATAGGGAGACTTGAAAATCCTGTTTACGAAGAGTAAAACTCTGCAAAGTCTTTTTAGTTGAGATACTGTATCTGGATATACTCTGCTCTCTCTAGAGTAGGGGTAGGCAAGCTTTTCCTTAAAGATAGTGAATATTTTAGGATTTGCAGGTCATATGGTCCTGAAAGCACGTAAACAAGTGGGCATGACTGTGTTTCAATAAAACTTTATTTACAAAAAACAGGATGCCCAGCCTTAGTTTGCCAACCCCTGCCCTGGAGGGGAGGCTAAGACCCAGAATTCTCCCCAGAATATTTGGATATTCTGAATGGATGTTCATTACCAAGTATTTGCTTTCTGTGCCAGAGAGGTGTGTGCTCCAACCGCAATACTTTGGTATGAATCTTTAAAATGGAGAGTATCAGTACGTTTGGTCCAGACCATTTTATGTGAAGAATCCAAGGGGAATATAGATTAACAGGGCATGAAGTTTTATTTTCCAGGGCCAAACAAGCAGAACTAGAATGACATTCACTTAAATGCATTTATCTAGAATAAAGTGAAGAATTATAGCTGCTTGGAAATAGGAAGAAGTAAGCCTGCATTTTGGTTGGATAGCTATCCCAATCTCTGACTTTAAGACTTGCAAGTTTAAAATGATTAATGTGACAAATTTTCACTTATCCTGTGACTGATTACTTTTTGTTCTTAAGTTACAAATCATAAATGATATAAAGGCTAAATAATCTATAAAAAATTGTCATAAAATTTTTGGTTCCTTCAATGAATCCTTTTAACCTCAAGTTAAAGCCTTCCAAACTCAAGTATTAGATCACATGCGAATTACACTGCCATTAGCCCGTCGCCGTTGAGTCAATTCAGACTCACAGCGACCCTATAAAACAGAGTAGAACCACCCCATATGGTTTCCAAGGGGCGCCTGGTTGATTCGAACTGCCCACCTTTTTGGTTAGCAGCCATACCTCTTAACCACTATGCCACCAGGGTTTCCTACATTAGGAATCACATTATGACACGTGTCCCCCTTAAAAATAATGCAAATCCACTGATTGTTCACCCGCAACTTTTTGATAGAGGCTGATGAACTTTCTTTTCTGGGGAATTTCTAGATTCAAGAATTTCTCAAGGGCCCAACCCAGGGTAAAACCCACTTAAAATCTCAACACTGCCAGGAGTAATTGGCCTCAGAGGATCTTCCAAGGAAGTAAAACCGCATTCCTAAGCATACCTAAAATCCTTTCACATTTACTAATTTTAAACAAGAGAGTAGAGAGGGATGAGGAGATATAAGGGTCGCTTGTACGCCCCGCTGCAGGTGACAGGCATCTGAAAATGCTCAAATGCCACATCAGATTGGGGAAAGCGAAAAGTAATATTTTGTCAGTAACTTAAAAATACGAGTTAAACTGAAGATTTACTGTAGAGGTCCAGTTTTGGTTTTGCCAGGGAACTTCTTGTCCTCTATAATGATTTACAGAATAAGGTGTTCTGGTTGTGGGCAGACACTGGAGGAATAAGGGGTGAGGAGATATAGAATGAAGTGCAGATTTCTTTACTATGTATATAAAATCTATGCAACTTACAGTCTTACATCTGCAAAGTGACTTCTTGGCTTCCTGTTGTCATCTGAAAGGCTGTTAATTCATGATGTATTACAATTTCCCAAGATATTACAGAAGAGATTAACTGCCCATATTTTGAGTACCTACAAACTAGTATTTCTTCCAAAGGTGCTTTTAAAATCAAACCAATATTTCATTTCATAATATGCCACACAATTATATAGTGAACCAGATCTCCACACCTCTCTGTGATGCATTGCTCCTGAGAATTAAGAACATCCCACTGAAGAGTAAGTCACAGGATAGACACTTGAAACAGAACAAATGCCTTCACCAGACCCACTATGTACCTGCCAATGACTGAGCTTGGCCAATCTAAGTACCATTGATAGGTTATGATCACAGTCTGCCCTTCATTTCTTCTACTGTACTTTCACGCAAATAACATGCACCTTCTATGTTTGTTTGCCAACCCTCCTCCCCCGCGAGATATTTTCATAAGCATGCTATGCTGATTTTTTTACAGCAACACATAAAAAAAATTGGCATAATGGCACTTATGAAAATATACTGAGGGGGGAGGTGAGGTTAGCAAACATAGATAGTGTGTCTTATTTGCATAAAATATGGTAATAATAAAACTGTTTCTTCACAAAACCAAAAATTATTACAGAGATTATCAAGGTTCATGTACAGTATTTATAGGCAAAGGTGCCTTGGTGGCACAGTGGATAAGCACTCGGATGCTAATCGAAAGGTTGGCTGTTTGAACCCACCAGCGGCTCTGTAGGAAAAAGATGTGGCAGTCTGTTTCCATAAAGATTATAGCCTTGGAAACCCTCTGGGGCAGTTCTACTCTGTCCTATAGGGTTGCTATGAGTCTCACCGACTTGATGGCAACAGGTTTGGTGTGTTTTTTTTTTTTTTTATAGGCATTTTGGAAGATTATCGTCCACTTGAAATGTTGAACAGATTCATAATAGCTTTTTCAACGCTTTGAGTTATTTGCATTTTAAAGTTCATATCAGACATCTCAATGTTAAAGATAAATTTCTGTAACTTTTATTAGGTAGTAATGATACCAGAGAAGGATGGGTAAGTAGGTTAGATGGTGCATCTTATGTCCACAGTCCACGTGAATTTTACAGAATGCTATGTAAACTGCTACTGCAAAAGAGGCAATTAGTGCACTGAATTTTCCATAAAACGCCTCCAAGTAAATCTTGTAGCCACTCATCTTTGCAGATGAGCATCTTACCTTTGAGAAGATGCACTCGAAAAAAATTTGCCACAGAAACCAGCAGTAAGATTTCTTATTTGAGACTCAGTATGTTTTTCATTTCACTAGCTCTTTCCTCCACCTCAGTGAATCATTCACAAACATTTATTGAGTACCTACTATGTGCCAGGCACTGTTTCAGGTCTGGGGATACATTATGAACAAAACACAGGGAGTCCTTGCCCCCTTATCTTCTAGTAGGTTGAGACAGACCAATAAACACATAAATACATAATATCACAGCGTTCAAAATAGCTTAGAGACATGCTGTCTGAAATCTAGTTACAGCATCTCATTTTGAAGCAGTGATAAAGTGAAAGAAGTCAGTAACGGACTGCAGAAATTCACTAGTCTCAGTTCCATTATCTATAAATTGGATGGATTTAAGTTTTTCAAACCAATCCAAGCCTCAGTTTTCTCATCTGTAAAATGGGATGGAAGTTGGAATAACTGACTGGAAAAGTTGTTTCTGGCTTTTAGTTTTCATGCTTTATGTGAACATCTTGCACGAAACCAAGAGCCAGTTTGTTGACTGCTGTATGGTTTAAAAAGTATTTGAAAATAAAATAGAAGAAATCTTTAGGCATTGCACATACACTTAATACCTTACATGTCAATCTAAACTTCTTTCAGAAATAGCAAATGTTTTATTTACAAATGCTATAGAATGAAGCTGCTTTTACCATTTTCAGCCATATGAGAATAAGTTATTCATAAAAGTATCTTCATTTCCATTGTTGATTACATCGTCCTACCTCATTTGTGAAATAGTATCTGGCTGTCAAACCCTCCCTTGGGTTGTGATACTGTCTCTATCTTCTACTAACCCATATCACTGACCTTGTCCTCTTGTTCAACCTTTTGACTGAACTATGAGCTCCATGAGAACAGGGGGTTGGGTCCTTGCTTCTTAGAACCACCCAAATGAGATTCTGTCCAGGCAGCCCATAGAAATTTGTAATCATTGCAGCTACCCTATGTTTTACAGGCACAGGCCTTTTGGGAACCCCCATTAGCTCTTCTAAGAGTACTACTTTTAGTAAAATTAGAGCTTTGGTGAAAGTGAAAGGAGAAATGGGGTTTCCAGAACAATTCACAGACTAGGACAATGTGAATTAATAAGCACCTGAACTTCTTTGGAAGCCCTTGCAGAATGTTAATGTGTATTTAATAATGCAAGCAAAGCAGCACATAGTTTGCAATCAATTAATTTTCCTTAAAGAAGATAATGTGGCTGAAGAGCTGAATGTCAAATAAGGTTGGACTCATTAACTTGGTATGAGTTACATAGCCTCTGATTTTCTGGAAAGACAGATTGAGTTCACTGGTTTGATTTTGAAATGTAGAAACTTAAATTTCAATCAATCCCACAGCTAAAGATGACAGGAAATTTTAGAGGCCTATAAGGAATCTTCTCTTCTTATCTGGATCAGATTGCGACTGACACCTTGGAGGTTCCTGAAGGCGGCGTGCTCTTTTCATCTGCTTGCTGTGCAATCAAATACACTGTACATGTTTTCCAGTTTGATTAGGTGGGCGTTATCACAAGGACACATCTTGTCAGCAGCTTTGGGGGCAAAGTGAAATCTCTTTCTCAATAAGTGAATTTAAATCTTTCCTGCTGCCCCGTGGTGTCAAAGTATATAGTTCAATGTTATCAGAAGTGCCTAACATGGGCTGCTGTGTAGACTAAAGTCTGTCCGGTCCTTTCAGTCACTAAAAAGGAATAATGACCACGTCCGTCTTGGAAGAGCACTACTACTCCAGGGTCTGACAGACAGGGATCTCATGCAACCTAGAAGCAGCATCACAACATCTTCCAGCAGTAAACAATATCTCAAACACTGCCTGTACAGAGTATAAGACCAGGGCAGGCCCAGCAGACATTTGCTGCATAGAATAAGGAGGTTCAGATAACTCTTGGCAGCAGGTAAATTCTCGTTCGTAAAGGAAATGCATTTTGGTGTACGTCATGGGATTTGAGTATATGTTCATGTTGTTGCAGATGCCTACCAGCAAGAACGCAGTCCCTTTTGCACAACTACAGGCTGGAGGAATTATAAATCCCTGCTCAGGTTCAGTGTCCCTACAGTAGAGCTGCATTCTTTCCAAACCATTCCATGTCAGTCCTTGACACTTTCCCAGTGGGTTAATGGGTTGAGACGTGTGCCAGGACAGGCTTTGGCTGTGAGGTCTCCAGAATGTCACTGTGTGCAATGTGGTTCAGGATGAAAGTCCTTAGTCTGCAAAAGAGTACAACTCTTCTTAAGTCCAAACCTCCATAGGTACCATGGCTTCTTTGGTTCCAACAGAAGGCCGTAGGCTTTCTTCAGACAAGAAATAAAAGGGGAATTGCACCAAGAACCCACGGATCTTTTTCAGTTCTTCCTCAGCTCTAATGGGATCTTCTTTCGCTAATATGGGTTTGCTTATGAAGTCTCGCAGCTGAATTAAATTGTGTACTTCATCATTGGGAAGGCACCGGAACACCTGATTAAAACACAAATAGGAAATTGAGTGATAAGTTTAAAAGTACATCCCCTTATGGAAAATATTCCAACAGACAGAGATCTGATTTAAAAGTTTCTCCTCTTACCTGCTACAAAGACACTGCTAGATTTGGTTCATTTAAAAAATCATAATTAGATCTTATATCTGATCGAAACAAGTCATTAACCCCAGGACAGAGTCAACTAGTGGGAAGGAATGTCATTGTTGTTACCCCACCATTAAGATTAATTTTTGGGGGAATAATCGCCCCTGAATCTCACTGGAGGTTCTGGTCTAAGGGTAAGATTGCATTAAATATATATATATATTTTCTCTAACTTCTTATTTTGATAACTGTTCATGTTTTAGAGTTATCAACTGCTGATATATAATATGTCTTTTGTCGATTTGAAGATGAGTTTCAGATATCATAACACTTTAGCCCTAAATACTTCAGCATGTATTTCCTAACAATAAGACATATGTCTACATAACAACACGACCATGATCACACTTAACAAAATTAGTTTCATAATCTCATTTCAGATGCGGTCCATATTCAGGTTTATCATACCAAAACCAAACTATTTTCCGTTGAGTCGATTCTGACTCATAACGATCTTGTACGACAGAGTTGAACTGCACCATAGGGTTTCAAAGGCTGTAATCTTTGTAGAAGCAGACTGCCACATCTTTCTCCTACAGAGTGGCTGGTGGGTTCAAACTGCCAACCTTTCGGTTAGCAGCCGAGAGCTTAACCACTGCACCACCAGGGCTCCTTAGATTTATCATACTACCCCCAAAATGTCTTTTTATAGCTGTCCCCCACCAATTGAGGGAATCAAGCCTGTAAAAAAGTCTCCTTACACATGACCTATTTGATCATGGCCTTAAAAAAGGCTATGTAGAGAGTTGTCGTGGTTCACTAAGAATGATGATGTCTCCATACTGGAAGGGACACTGGAAGGTCATAAAGAAGAACACACTCTTACCCAATTTCTGAAAGATTCTCAAGGAACCTCAGCTTGAATATTTTCCATGATAGGAAGCTGATTACTTCATAACATAACCTGTTCCACAGTTGGACAACTCAACTCTTGCACATTTTAAAAATAATAACCAATGGATAAAACTTACCAGGAGATGGGCTTGGCCTCCATAATAAATGGAGCTGGTTTTAAAACACCATTTTAAAATTAGAGCTGCCCAACAAAGGAAGTATCTCATTATTAATAAGCTTTATCATAAGGACGGATACCATTTATTTCGCACTATGGGCTAAATATATTATATGGACTATTCTTTATCATCATAACCACTCTAGTGAATATTCCTCCCATTTTAGAGGAGAGAAAAGGAAGGCTCAGAATGTCATATCACTGTACACAAAGTTATATCACCAACAATTGGATGAGTAGGATTTGAATCCAGGTCTCACTCACTTTTCGATCCCACCTGCCTCTTTTCCCTTCGTCATTAGACATGTTCAGAGTCTGGATAACCATGTGCTAGGGGTGCGTACAATGGGATTCTCGCAACGGATGAGATATTAGAAGGCCACTAGAGCCCTTTCTAACCCATAATCCATGATGCTATTTGACTCTTCCTTTTTCAGTGTTAACAAACACTGTACCAATATAATGTGAAAATAATGATAGGGATTTTGTGAGGATATTCAACAGAAAAAAGGGGGAAAAGAAACATGAAATTCACCTTATCGTAAATCGTAGCATTTCGAGCTGCTGTTAAAACCCAAACCTCCTTGAAGAATTTGTCACTCACTGGGTCCTGAATGTCCTCATTCAGGTCAGAAAGGTAGCCAAGGACAACCCTGAAATACAAATGCCTTCCAAATTGAGTAACTGAGAAAAAGCCGTTTGCTGAAGGTATTATTTCTAAGGGTAATGTAATTCAGGCACTCAACCATAGAAGTCGATTTTTTTTTATTGATATATATATTGCTATGATGCTTAAATGTTTTAACTGTTGGACAGAGAGAAAGACCTTAATTTTGTTCTGAGAGTGTCCCTGAAATTTGGCCTAAGGTGTTCAAAGCCTTGGAGAATAAAACTGGTGTTCAAAATATGGTACAAGCCAATGTGCTAAGCCCTTTGTAAGCCTTATCTAAGTCCTCAACAACACCATAAAGAAGCAACTATTATATTCACTTTACAGATAAGGGAACTAAGGCACAGAGAGGTTAAGCAACTAGATCAAGGTCATGCAGCTGGTTAAGTGGTAGAGCTGGGACTCCAACTAGGATGCTCTGTCTCCCAAACCTGTGCTCTTAACAATGACATGGTAGATCCTTCCTTCCTCCCTGTCTTCCTTTGGAGCAAGCACTATGCTGAACTCTAGGGTAGAGAAATAAATAAGAAACACAGGGAATCTCCCTGAGTAGAGTTAAATTTGGTGGATGGGGCCAACAGTGAATAAATAATCATTGAATGAATCATGTGAATAAATAATATACATCAAATAATGAATTAAAATTGTGATAAATGTAGGGTGTTCTTTAAGAGTATGCAGCAAGACTAGTCGGAGAAGGTTTTTCCTTCCTCTACCTATTTGCCTTACGCTACCTACCATCTTTTAAGATTCAGTACAAGGTCACCTTTATAAAACGTTTTATGGCTCTCCCTTCCTCCCCCACCCCCATTTCTCCTCGTCAATCCTGGCAGATTTGAACGTTCTTCCTTTTTCCCCATTGTACTTCCTATATGCTTTTAACAGTGCACCTGCAATATTTTATATCCTTTTTGTTTTTAACTGATTTGTCTTCCACTTCTAGAATGTAAATTTCTTGAGAGACCATGTCCTGGTCACTCTCATATCTCCAGTGTCTGACATAAAAGAAGTCACATACTAGATATTGTTTGAATTAATCGCATATAAACAGGGGACTAGAAATAACAGGAAATGTTCAAGCAAAGCAAGACAAGTTTGAGAGGTCATATTGGAAAATGATAATAACCCATTGTATTACATAAGGCTTTAGGGTTAACAAGCACTTCCACTTCAATCCTGTGAAGTAGATGGGACATATAATTCCCATTCTGTAGACAGGCAACTAAATTTTGGAGACACATTAGTAATCGAGCTAGAACTCAAACTGAGTCCAAAACCTTTTTTGCATATACCTGGTAGGTTTAAGGAATACCAAAAAGGCCTGTGCTACAGAGAGAAAAACAATGGAAAATTATACCTTGTAAGAACTTTGGTTTTTACACTGAGTGAGACAGGGGCCCACTGTAGGCATTAGAGCAGAGGAATGACAGAATCTGACCTCCACATTAAAATACCGCTGCTGATGGAGAATAGACTGTGTGGGGCAAGGGTTGAAGTAGGGAGACCAGTGAGAAGATATTGCAGCTGTCTAAGTGAGAGCTAATGGTAGCTTGGACCTGGGTGGTAGCAGTGGAGATGAAAGTAGAGCCAATAGGTTTTAGCGATAGGTTGGATCTAACCCGTTGCCATCGAATCAATTCCGACTCATAGCGACCCTATTAGGGCATGAGAAAAGAAAGGCATCAGGGATGACTTAAAGGTTTTTGGCTTGGACAACTAGAAAAATGTAGTTTCCATTAACTGAGCGTGGGAATTCCATGGGTAGTCAGCTGGTCGGGGGGAAACCAGGAATTCAATTTTGTATGGGTTGAGATATCTATTGAATATCCAAGTGGCTAAGTTGAGTAGGCAGTTGAATAAATGAATCTGGTGTTTGGGAGAGAAGACTTGCCTAGAGATACAGGTTGAGACTTGCCTTCATATATAAAGCTCATATGATTTTTAAATGTGTTCACTGAAGGAGTATAGACAGAGAAGAGGACCTGGTACACTCTGACAGTAGGTGAGAGAAGAAGGAATCATCAAAAAGATTGAGGAGGAACAACCATGAGGCTGGAGAAACCAAGAAGTTGGGATATCCTGGAACACATGAAGAAGTATATCAAGGTGAACTGTGTTAAAATTGAACTTGATGGACTGGGTAGAATGGGGAAATGAGAATTGACCATTTGCTTTAACAGCATGGAAGTTGTTATACTGTTGCTCTCTTTCTATTTAAATAAACATAGATTTACATCATTATTTTTAATGGCTGCAGAGTTTTCCATAATGTGAAATTTAACAAATTATTTTATGATGTTTAAATGACCAATTATTTTATTATGGACTTTGGGGGGTTTCCAATTTTCATGATTAGGAATAGTGGTATAATAAACATTTATTCATTACATATAATACTTTGTAAATTTTTATAATTATTTCATTAGGACAAATTTTAGAATTAAAATTCCTGGATCAAAGAACGGGCAACATTTATCTCCAAAAAAGACTGTACCAATGCATATGCTCTCCTCAGTCATCTCTAACATGATCAATTCCAGAAGAAGCTCAGCCGATTTTACAGGGAAAAATGAGCATCTCATAATAGTTTTAATCTGCATTTGTTTCATTATATAAAAACCGTTTAAAATAAATGGATCTGGCACCACGGCCACATTGGAATTGAGTTTCATAAACTCAAAATCTTATTTAAAATAACACCTCATGACTACATAAGAATAGCTTTAAAAAAGAGAGAGGGCTGACCAGGATCACAACAGAGGGTTCTGGACAGAGCTGGAGAAGGATGTAGAGCATAATTCTAACTAAAAAAAAAGATCAGATTTACTGGCCTAAAAGGAGACTGGAGAAACCTCGAGAGTATGGCCCCCAGACACCCTTTTAGCTCAGTGGTGAAGTTACCTCCGAGGTTCACTGTTCAGCCTGGGAGT